AGCCAGCTCTCATGGGAACTAATAGAGTGAGAACTCACTCATTACTCCCCTCTCCCCCAGGGAGAGCATTAATCCATTCATGAGGGATCTGCCCCCATGACTCAATCAGTTTCCAACTGCCACATTGGGGATCAAATTTCTACATGAGTTTTGGAGGGGACAACACATCCAAACTCCATCAGAGATTGATGACCTCTTTAGTCTTTCTAATTTCTCCCATTTGAAATGAGAATGTTTATCTTATCACCTTTTCTGACACTCCCACGATGCATATGTTGGTACATGTAATTGTACTACAAAGTCCTTTAGGTTCTATTCTTTTTTCTTTTTTCTTTCTGTTTCTCACACTGTATAATTTCAATAGTTTTATCTGCATGTAATTGATTCTTCTTACTGCTGAAATCTGCTATTGAGCTTGTGTAGTCAAAGACTCAAGGATGTTATTTGAAAATATGGAAAAGGATATTCCATGCAAACAGTAACCAAAGGGGAACTAAAGTGGCTACATTATTGTTAGAGAAAGTAGAATTTCAGTGATTGGATGTTAAAAAACAAAGAAGGACATCATGTATTGGTAAAATATTTTACTCATCAAGAATATATAATAATTATAAACATATATGTACCTGCTGTTGTTTGAACATCTCTCCAGGCTCATGTTGGAACCTAACACCCAACATGATCATGGAAGGTGTGGCCTTTAAGAGGTGATTGCATACAGGTAACTGTGCCCTTGTGAATGGATCGATCTATTCATGGAGTAATAGGTTGATGGTGTAGTGGGTTGTCATTTGCATGGTTCTGATGGCTCTATACGGAGAACAAGTGAGGTTAGCTCCCTAGCTCTTGTTAGTCTCACCATGTGAAACCCTGGTTGCCACAGAACCCCATTGAGAGTTCCACCCAGAAGGTGGCCCTCACCAGATTGCCCCCCAGACCATGGGTGTGCCTCCCAGTCTCCAGAACTGTGAGAAATAAATTTTGTTTCTTTATCCATTATTACCCCATTTGAGATATTCTGTTATAAGCAGCAGAAATGGACTAATACACTACTGAACATCAGTGTCCCAAAATATATGAAGCAGAAATTCATGGAATTGAACAGAGATATAGACCATTCAACAGTAATACTCAGAGACATCAATACCCCAATTTCAAAAAATTGTAGAATGCCTAGACAGAAGATCAAAAGGAAATAGAGGACTTAAATAACACTATAAACAAGTTCTGACCTGAAGGTCCTATAGAGAACACTCCACTCATTTACAGCAAAATACACATTCTTCTCAGGTGCCTATGAAACATTCTCTCCAACAGAGCATATGTTTGACCACAAAACAAGTTTTAATAAATTTTAAAAGATTGAAACCATACAAAATATCTTCATTGACCATAATGGAATGAAGCTTGAAATCAGTAACAGAAAGAAAACTGGAAAATGCACTACTCTGTAGAAATTAAAGACCCCTCTCAATCAGTGGATCATAGAAAAAATCACAGGGAAATTAGAAAATACCTTGAGACAAATGAATACAAAAACACAGAAAACTAAAATTTACAGGAGCGGCGAAAGCAGTACTTAGAAGGAAATTTACAGCTGCAAAGATTTACATTAAGAGAAAGAAAGATTTCAAATATTAACCTGACAGTATACCTTGAGGAACTACAAAAAGAAGAGTGAACTAACTCAAAGCTAGCAGAGGATAAAAATAAAAATTAGAGCAGATATAAAAGAACAGAAAACAATAGAGAAAATCTGTGAAATCAAGAGTTGGTCCTGTGAAAAGGTGAACAAAATTAACATCTTTTAATTAGATTTAATAATATTACTACTAAAATCAGAACTAAAAGAGGATCATTGACTTTACAGAAATAAAAAAGGAGTCTGAGAACAATATGAATCACTGCACACCAACCAATTGGATAATTGAGATGAAATGGACGAGTTTCTAGAAACACATGAACCACCAAAATTGTCTCAAGAAGAAAGAGAAAATATGAATAGATCTATAACAAGTTAGGAAATTAAATCAGTAATCAAAAACATCCCAACAAGGAGAAGCCCAGGACCAGATGGCTTCACCACCAAATTCTACCAAACATTAAAGAAGAATTAATGCCAATCCTTAAAATTTTTTAAAAATTAAGAAGGAACACTTTAAAATGCAACATAGATATAACACTTCAAGACCTTGGATTTGTCAATGGTTTCTTAAAAATGACATTAAAAGCATAGATTAGCATTTTAAAAATGAAATAAATCGAACTTGATTAAAAATGAAATGACGAACATGTGAAATGAACAGAAATTTTTCTAAAGAACATATACAAGTGATCTATGCATATACAAATAAACACATACAAAGTGCTCAATAGTATTGGTTATTTCGGAAATGCAAATCAAAATGACAATGATAGACCATTTTGCTCCTATAGGGTGGCAATAATAATAATAATAATAATAATAATAATAATAATAATAATAATAATAATAATAGGAAAATAATGCTGGAGAGAATGTGGAGAAATTGGAAGTGAAATGATGAGCATTAATGAACCTTGGAAATATTATTTTAAGTAAAATAAGCCAGATATAAGATGACTAATATGAATGAATTCCCTTGTATTAAATATCTAGAATAGGCAAATTCAGGAACACAGAAAATAGATGAGATGTTACCAGGGATTGAGGGAGAAAGGGAAATGCGTAATTATTAATATGTATAGAATTTCTGTTTGGGGGTGATAAAAAATATTTTAAAATAGTGGTGATGGTTGCATAACATTGTATATGTACTTAATGCCACTGAATTGTACACTTAAAAGTGGTTACATGGGAAATTTTGTTATATTGATGTATATATTTTTTTACCACTATATGAAAAATGGTATATATTTTTCCAGTCTTCACTTTTAGTCTGTGTGTGTCTTTATAGGTGATGTGGGTCTCTTGAAGATAGTATATAGTTGGGTCTAGCTTCTTAATCCAGTCAATCCATGTCTTTTCAATGGGGAATTTAATCCATTTAAATTTAGGGTTGATATTGGTAAGTATTGCTTTACTCCTGTCATTATATAGCTTTTTGTTTAGATGTTTTAAACATCATTTGTTCCTTTCTTCCCCTTTTATTTTTCATCTTCAATGTTAGTTGGATTTTTGAAGTGAAATGATTTAGCTTCTTTCTCTTTCTTGTTAGACTTTTGGTTTTAATGGCAGGGTTTGCTCTTTCCTATATTTCAGTGATAGTGATTATCGTTTTTCAGATTCTGGATGCAGGGCTCCTGTGAGAATTTCTTGCAGGGCCGGTTGTGTGGTAATGAACTCCCATAATTTTTGTTTGCCTGGGAAATACACTATTTGTCCCTTATTTCTGAAGGATAACCTTGCTGGGTATAGAATTCTTGGCTGGCAATTTTTTTCTTTTAGTATTTTGAATATATCATCCCATTTTCTTCTGGCCTGTAAGGTTTCAGTTGAGAAGTCTGCTGTTAGTCTGGTGGGGGCTCCCTTAGAGGTGGTTCTTCTCTTGTTGCGTTTAGAATTCTCTCTTTGTCCTTGAGTTTTGCCAGTTTGACTATGTGTCTTAGAGAGGATCTTTTAAATAAGCCAGATAAGGAAAGAGAAATACTGCATGTTCTCACCTATAACTGGGTGCTAAGAAAGAAGGAAAGAAAGAAAGAAAAGCCCACAATAATTAGTTGAATTTTCAGAAGGCGAGAACAAACCTAAGGTTACTCGAGATGAGGGGGAGAGAGGGAGGGGATATACGGAGGGTTAGGTCAGGTAAAGGGCATAAAGAAAAATCATGATTTTTAGTAATGAATATGCTAATAATAATAATAATAATAATAATAATAATAATAATGAATCAGGAAACGGGACAGTTGATCCTGCAGGGAGACTGAGGTCTCTTGCTGGAGGTGTAGGTCGAGTCTCAGGATATGGGCTCCAGGTAGCGACAGCTCCTGCATGCTCTCACCTCAGTGCCAGGAGAACACCTCTGTCTTCCAGGGCAGAGTTGGGCGCACTTTCTTTGTATTATTTGTTGACCCTCCACAGGTAGGGGTCATTTTTCCTTCCATTTTCCTCCCGTGGCAGATGGCAAGAGCTTTACGTAAAGGCTTGTTGCTCATTGTCGTATTACTTCTGCTCCTATTGTGTCTTCCACTGACCATGAGCCCATTGAGGACAGGGATTAGGACTTTCTTCTGTGAGTTTCCAGGGACCAGGTGGCACTGTCCACTACAGTAGTTTCTAGGCCCATGTGACTTTTGAAATACGCTACTCCTAGTGGAGATGTGCCATGAGTGAGAAATGCACACTGCAAATGAAAGATGTGCTATGAAAAAAAGATGTAAAATATTTCAGCGTTTTATACTGAGTCATGTTAATGATATTAACTCGGATGTATGAGGCTAAATGCATCATTAAAAATAATCTGACCTTTTTCTTTTTACCTTGTCAATGCAGCAACTATAAATTTGATTTCATGTGTGGCTTGCATTGTATTTCTTTTGGCAGTGCTGGTCTAAGGTGTGTAGTAGATGCAGAACTGATGAACTGACCAAGGCCAGAGTGGATTTCCCTGTTTGGATTCCACTGATGGTTCAAAGTGACATCCCTGACCACCACAGTCAGCCTCTGGGAATTTGGTGGAGATTCATTCCCTGGTTTTTCTCTCTACTCCCAGGATCCCATTTATCAGAAGAGAGTGGAGATTGTCTGTCATGCACATATGGTGTGGACTACACTGCTTATTCCAACACCCTCCCTTCCTGCGTACTCTGCATGGTTTGTAAATCAGGTACAGACCATATTGACCCCTTGTCTAGAGTTAGGGTGGGGAGTGATGAGTTAAGAATTGTAGTCACCATGGAATCAGGAGACCTGAGAGTTCCAGTCCAACATGGTCTTCATCATACTCTGTTCCATGATTATGTCTTTGAGCCAATAACATAAAGAAAAACAGAAACTATTTTTATAATGCATGACACCTTATAGGGATATCTTATAGTCATCAGGTGGAAGAGGAGTTATATTCTCTCTTAGAGAGCGGTCAGTATAGCAATAGCATAGAGAAGGCATGGCTGAGTGGAAAGGGCTGTGTTTCAGCTGTGACAAGGGCCTGGTTCTGAACTAGGCTGTCTTTCTCTGTGCCCTGTGCTCCTGGAAGGTTCTCAGCCTCTCTGAACCATCATTTCCTAAGGCCCCTCCCTCCTCTTCAGTAGGACCAGGCTTTTGGGAAGTCACCCAAGGGCTCCTCTCCTTCCAGGGTCTCTCAGGTGATACCTCTATGCCTTCCTCGCTACTGACTTTGTCATCTAAAATATTTGTCCTACTTAATCTGATGTAATAAATAACGAATAGTGATCCTTTTATATGACTCTGTGTATTGGTGACAGCTGAAGTGTGGCTGTCCTCTATGTACTTTGTGTCTGTTGACACAGAAACTGCCCTCAGATCTCAGTGAACTGAGTTGAGTTGAGTGGGAGGGGCTTTGGGTTTTGAGGAAGGATTGAGGGACATGTCAGAGAAACACATCCCCAAACCTTATCCTTTGTCACCAGATGAAGAGGAGAAAAGTCCCTGCACCACGACCAGAGACACAGTGTGCCAATGCAAGCCTGGCACTTTCCGAGGAAAAGATTCCCCTGAGATGTGCCAGAAGTGCAGCACTAGGTAAGATACGGGAACCAAGGGGATTCCCAGAAGACCCGAGTCTCCTTGCACCCGTCCTCGCCCCTGAGCCCGTGGAGGCTCCATCTCCACAGGACGTGCCAGTGACCGTGGTCTTCTGATCCTGCAGGGCCCCTCCTGGTCCATCTGCAGGTCCCACCCCTGCCCCTGCAGTGGCCCCTTCCCACACCTTCTCAGCACGTTTTCCCCTTGGCCAGGCCGACCAGCTCAGTGGGCACAGGAGGCCAAGACTTAGGGCCGTGATACTTTTAGGAGCCCATGAACTGTTTTAATTTATTTTGAAACCATAAGAAAAAGAACTGCATAGAATCCAGCCTAGGTTATATTCATCTTTAAAACAATTGAGTCCTACGATTTAACTTTAATTTTTTTTTTTCAAGAAGGGGCCTGTGAAGACAAAAGTGCCCATGGCACATAAAGTCGTAATGAGCCTGAGTGTGTAGTTCCTTCTAGATTCTCATGAAGACCTGATCCAGCTCAGGCAGCCTTACCCCTGGCTCTTAGTCCCTCAGTAAGGCCTATTCTTTCCCCAGTTTTGCTATTAGAGGTCAATAGTTAAGTGACTGTTCTCTGACCCCCTGGCATTTGATGCAATTGTAGAAATGGTCAGACAGGTGGCAAACATGAGCTTAGTTATATTTAAGGTTGACCTTGGACATGGCTCAGCTCATGGCCACATTGGTTTGTGACTGTCCCTCAGCCTAGGGAAGCTCAGGGTGTGCTCTGCAGAGAAGGCTCCTAATGGCCACAGCTCTGACCACTGAGCATGGAGCCCAGGGAGCTCGGATCCTCTCACAAACTCAACAAAGGTCAGTGAGGTGACCCCTGGGGACACGAGGAGCCTGTCCTTCCTCTGACACCTTCTCAGGGATGTTGGGCAGGGAGGAGGCTCCCTCTCTAATCCCATATGGCAGCTTCCCTCACAGAACATGTCACTTCCCCTGTGTGTTTCCAGGTGCCCCAATGGGATGGTCAAGAAGAGTCCCTGTACCTCCTTGAGAGACCTTGAGTGCGTCCCCGAAGAATCAGGTACAAAGGCCAGCCACTGTGGAAGCCCCAACCACTGGAGAGCCAGTGACCACCACCAACTTGGGACTCCCGCCTGTCTGTGTCTTTCCTCAGGGAATAAAAACAGATTCAACTGGATCACAGTCCCAGCCTTATTAACGTTTGTGGCCTTGGTTGTTGGGATGATTTTACAAGGGAAGAAAATATTTCCTTACCTGAAAAACATCTGTGCAGGTGAGTGTTGGCTGAGGGAAGAGGTCTGGCACTCTCTGCCTCTCCCTCACCCACTCTGTTCCCACAGACAGAAATATCTCCCAAATCCTGGTGTCTTCCTGGCCTGGCTCTGTCTTCTTCTCTGTGATTGCCCTTCCACTGCCCACCTCATGAGCACCCCGTGGGGACCAGGGTCTCACCAGCCCTTTCTCTCAGGGCTAATGGCTGCCACATCACCCGGCCAGTTCCTCTGTCTTCCAGGCATAGCCAGGGCAGAGGGGCAGTCAGCTCCTGGACTTGGGACAAGGTTCAGGACAAGGAATGGTCAGGGGCGTTATTTACACAGCTTTGGCCGGAGCAGGATCAGGGATTCTACACGTGATGATTTTTACTCTATTTCCCCTTCTGCTCCCCCTCCCGAGGGTGCCAAGAGTTGGCATGACCCAATCACTGTCCCCAGGCACAGGACTCTGTGTCCAGAGTCTGAGTCCTGCCCACCCCTGCCCCAGCCTTGCTTCAGGGAGGGAGGTGCTGTGGGAGGCCCCTGCCCACTTGCTGAGGGGCCGCGCCTTCTCTTGCAGGGTGTTATGGATGTGTCTCTGAGTGGATGAACAGAGTAAGTGGGTTTCTCCGGGACCTGTGGGAACTGGGTGCTCAGGAACTGCTTCCAGCCTGCAGCAGAACTGGGTGGATCCATCCCAGACTGGTCTTGGTTCATTGCCCAGGCTCTCTCAAGTGGCCTGGGGGCTAAGGGTGGACTGTAAGGGGCAAGTGGCCATTTTGAGCCCCCCATAGACTGATGGACTGTGCTGTAGCCCTGACCTTCCTGCTGCCTGAAGACACCCCCAGGCCACAGCCCCACACCCTTGGGTGGAGGTCAGTTGGGGGGTGGTGACCCCTCCTTAGCTCAGCATCAGGATCATGGTGCCAGCAGCAGACACTGGACATGCTGAGCCTCCCTGGGTGACCCTATGGGAGGGGCTGGAGACAGCAGCACCTGGGGGGCCTTGCAGGGAGCCCTGGATGTGGACCCCCAATTCTGCTCTTTGCCTTCCCAAGGTCTTTTCCTGGTGCTCATGTCTCCTAAGAGGTTCTGTCTTGTGGGACAATGCCCACAAGATCCTGAGCAGCACATACTCACCATCCATCTCAGTCTCTGAGCAGGAGATAGAAGGCCAGGAGCCAGCAGAACTGGAAGATGTCACTGTACTATCCCCAGGGGAGGCCAAGCATCAGCTGGTGAGTGGGGGATGGGCCTTGGGGAGCCCTGGGCCTTCTGCTTGCCTAGTACTTTGTAGAAAGAGGGAGGTGTGATGCTGGCAGCTGTCCGGGCCCAGGGGGAGGTGGAGACTGAGGGAGATGAGGGACTGCAGGGGATGGGGCTGCAGGGGGTGGGGCTGCATGTGGCAGGAGCAGCTGCCCTGACCTAGAGACCAAGCCAGTCTGCGGCGCATTTTGCTTCCTAGTGTCTGTCCTGTTCTCCTTGTGTCTCCAGAACCTGGAGCAGTGCAGGCACAGAGTGGGCACTGCAGTGTTTGTTGATGACTGAATGAGGGCTGTATGACAGTCACTGTGTGCTTGTTATGGAACCTAGTAAGCCCTTGCTCATAATAACAGGAATTTCAAATTTACTCCAAAATTAGTATTACATTGCACATATTTGAAAATAAATCTTTGTCCGTTTTTCTGTTCTTATTTATACCTTGGCTTTCTAGGAGAGTTAGGGTCAGGGTATAGAAGCGCTGCTTTACTACACACACACGCACACATTTTGGTCATATCAGTTCATAAGTCTTCATCTGTCATTGAGTGCTTTTCTGTTTTCATTTTGCTAACTGAGGAAAAGTTGGCTTAAACTTGCATTTCCTTGTTTTGAACTTTTTCATACGATTATTGTTTTGTTTCTTAGAGTCTTTCTAGGAAGACATGGTTTAGCACCCATACATTTTCTCAAATATGGGTCGTAGAATCTTAATTTCTTGTTTGCTCTTTCAGTCAGTCTAATGTTTTCATGTGCAGAATTATTAACTTGTAAGTGGTTAAACCTATAGATACATTTACTTTTTCGTTGCTCATAAGCTAAGAAAGTTCTTCACTCCAACATAAGATGAGATGAACTTCTCTAATTTCTCAGGGATTTGTTTTTTTTTTTTTTTTGGTTTTCGTTTTGTTTGTAGTAATCTGATTTTTACCACATAGCTATAGAATTTAAATGGAATTTATTTTATGACATAGTATTAAGTGAGGAGCTACTGAATTGTTCTGAGTCACTGTCTTTCCTGAAACCCCATTTAGCAACCGACTTTNCACTCCAACATAAGATGAGATGAACTTCTCTAATTTCTCAGGGATTTGTTTTTTTTTTTTTTGGTTTTCGTTTTGTTTGTAGTAATCTGATTTTTACCACATAGGTATAGAATTTAAATGGAATTTATTTTATGACATAGTATTAAGTGAGGAGCTACTGAATTGTTCTGAGTCACTGTCTTTCCTGAAATCCCATTTAGCAACCGACTTACCTATTTTTTTGTTATTGTTCCTTCCTTTATCACTTTTCAGATGTTTATACAGAAAATAATTTTTCCACCTACAGTGTTCTTTCCTGTTCTTTTCTTGTGTCAATGATACTTTTTTTAAGTAAAGGAAAGATATAAAAAGGGAGAAAAACAGACAAATAAGACCAATACTTACCTCCATCTGATTAATCACTTTCCACAGTTTAAAACAGTGATTAATACATATCCACACTGAGAAAAGTAAATAGTATATAAAGGCAGTCAGTGAACACTGAGAGCTCACCCCCTCTTCTCCAGGCCCCCTGCTCTTTTTTTTAGGTGACTACAATAGACAACTTCTTGCTGAAATTTTTATATCTATGTCATATATGCATACACACATACATATATGCACACACACATAAATATGAATATTTCCTTTCTATGAAAAGGATTATATTATATACAATATTCTGCTAAATGAAAGTTTCTAATATGTTTTAATATCTGATAGAATAATGCCTCTTTCTTACTGTTTTAAATTTTATCTTTTTCTGTAATGAAATTTAGAATTATTTTACATGATTTCTCCTACCCCCTAGAAAATCAGTGAAATTGTTTATATTACTTTAAGTTAATAAATTAATTTAGGAAGAATTGAGATCTTTTCAATATTCAGCATAATATTTTCTATAAAAGAAGATAGTATTTGATTTTGGGTTTCTGCTCTAGCTGTAAGGAGTTTAAAAGTTGCCACTTGTTCTAAGAACAGCTTAAAACCTGTACAAACTTAAATATCAACAACTCTTTTTACATCAGTCAGAGAAGTGAGGTCACAAGGCAAACTGCTTTCTCCAAAAGTGGAGAGACAGGCAGGTGGATACAGAGACTCACAACGTATCACAGCAGAAACCCGCAAGCAGAAACAAGAAAGAGAACAAGAAATAAACAATAAGAAAACAAACAACTCAATTAAAAAGTGGGCAAAAGACCTGAACAGACACCTCACTAAAGAAGAAAGATATATAGCAAATAAGCATGTAAAAGATGCCCCAAATCATATACCATTATAGAAATGCAAATTAGAACTACATTGAGATGCTCTATATATCTGTTAGAATGTCCAAAATCTAGTACATGACAACAGCAAGTGCTGACAGGGATGTGGAGCAACAGGAACTCTCATTCATTGATGGTGGGAATGCAAAATGGTACAGCTACTTTGCAAAACAGTTTGGCAGGTTTTTATAAAACCAAACATTTCCTTACCATACAATCCCCCAACCACTGTCCTTGTTATTTACCCTGATGAGTTGAAAACTTATGTCCATGTAAAAACATGCACTTGATTTTTATATCAGCCTTACTGATAATTGCCAAAACTTGGAAGCAACCAAGGTGTCCTTCAGTAGGTGAATGGATAAATAGACTGCGGTACATTCAGCCAGTGGAAAATTCTTCAGTGCTAAAAAGAAGTTAGTTATTAAGCATTAAAGGACTTGGAGGAACTTCAAATTTTGGAAAGGGCACAATTATGGAGATAGTAAAAAGATCAGTGATTGGAGGGAGAAGGGAGGAAGGAATTAACAGGCAGAATACAGAGGTTATTTTTAGGTCAGGAAAACTATTTTATGTGATAATATAATGTGGAGACATGTCATTAAATATTTGTAAAAACCCACAGAATGTACACCAGGAAGGAACCCTAACATAAACTCTGGGCTTTGATGTATCGATGTAGGTTCATCGCTGGTGGGGGATGTGGATGGGGGGAGGCTGTGCATGTGTGGGGGCAGGGGCTATATCAGAACTTCCTACTTTCTCCTTAATTTTGCTGTGACCTAAAACTGCTGTAAAAAAATAAAGACTACTTAAAAGGGAGAATAAAAGTAGATAATATTTCAGTTTTATTATAACCCAATAGCAATTTCTGGGTTCTTTTCAGATAAGTTACATCTATTTCTTGTCAAGACCATTTCTTTGTATTTTATGTGTTTCGTAACCCTTATGACTTGGACTCTCTTGTAATTCCATTTTCTGATTTATGGTTTCTGCTACACTTTTTACATTCATCCAGACTTACATTCATTTTTAAGTAATGTAGTTTAACAACAGGCTTTTAAAAATATGCAATCATATCTAAAATAATGACTGATTTTTCTGCTTTCTTCCCAGAGTCCTGCCCTTTGTTTCTGGTTATGGGAACTTTCTGGGCAGGTGGTAATATTCTGTTTTGCTTGGGTAATACATACGTGTATACTTGATATGGAACACTTAAGATCTGAGCATTTATTGCATAGAACTTATGCCTCAATGAGCAAACAGGGACAAAGAGCCTGTGAGTTCTGCAGGGCAGGAGGTCTACCCCCCCTCCATGGACCCGAGACGGGAAGTGACATGTCCGGGTCTCACAGCTGCCGGCTGTCAGGGGCAGGACTGGAATCCAGGGCTCCTGATTCTGACCAAGGCCTTGTCCACTGTGTGTTACAGGAACCTGCAGAAGCTGAAGGGTCTGAGACGAGCAGGAGGCTGCTGGATCCAGCCAATGGTGCCGACTCCATTGAGAGCAAGTGTTTGGTTGGGGGCGACGCAGCAGGAGTGGAGGGACTAGGGCCAGAGTCCTCATTGCTGTCCCCACAGCTGACAGGGCTCCTCCAGGGCAGTCGATGCTGGATGCAGGGGATCTTATGCTGATGTCACTGGACCATTGGGACCCTAAATCCCCCTCTCCCACCACTTCTCACCCACTCTACCTATCCGCTCTGTCCCCTGACAACGTCCCCAACTCCTACGCCCTTCCCTCTTCCACCATCCTCCTCGTCCCTTGTTGCTCAGGTCCTGGTTCAGCCCCTGAGGCCTCCTGAGGGGCTGCGCTGTCCTGCGTGGTACCTATTGCCCCCTGGAGGCTCCTGAGCACTTGACTGTGGCCAGGTCCAATTTGCTGAGCTGCGTATGAACTTCATGCCAGACATCAAGGACATAATAAAAAGCAAATGGAAACGATCTCATTGATAATGTTTTGAGTACTGATTGCTTGTTGAAAAGATAATATTTTGTACATAATTGAAGCAAAATATATTATGAAAATGAAGATCAACTATATCTTTTTACTTTACTTTTTTAAAGGGGCTGTTAGAAAACACAACCTGGTGTCTGGTCCCCTCCTGTTTCTAGGAAGGCGGCGTGCAGTGCAAGTGTGTCTCACGCAATCCCGTCGCAGTCCCCTGAGCTGGGTGGGTTTGCTCCATGTCAGGGCTCACTAGTTGCTCGATCCAGCTCTGCCCCAGCGTCAGGGAGTGAGGCCGAGCTGGATGTGAACCAGAGATCTCCCAACCAGGCCCTGCCTTTCCATAGATGCAGACGTGGCCGCCCTGGGTCCTGCTCTCCTGCCCAGCGCAGCCTACAGGGCTTCCCTCCTCGGAGCTCCTGCTGCGCCCACTCTCTGGCCCACACTGTGGCTCCTTCCCCACGTTGTTTTCTGCCTCCATCATGTCCATCCGTCCCCCCTGGTGGGGTATCAACCGCTCTTTGGGGCAGGACTCTCTGTGGGCCTGGACTCCCTGCTGTGTCTTGGGAGCAGGTGACACCCAGGTGGTGTGGCCTGCTTCTCTGTGGATGGGAAGCAGGTAGCGACACTGGGGCAACAGGTTCACCAGCATCGGGAGTCCATTTGGCTCCACCCTTGGGGTCTAGGACCCTCGGCCCTTCCTGAAGCTCATCCCAACTCAGCGGACTGTCTCTGTGTGTTTTCTTTACCTAGGTCTGAGGCTGTGCTTCCATAGCTTTCCAGACATCGTGCCCTTTAAATCCTGGAACCCGCTCATGCGGCTGGTGGGCCTCACCGAAAATGAGATCCATGTGGCCAGAGCTCGTGCTGCAGACCCACAGGACGCCTTGTATGAAATGCTGGTGACGTGGGTCAACAAAACAGGACGGGGCGCCTCTGTCAACACCCTGCTGGATGCCTTGGAGACGATGGGAGAAAGACATGCAAGGGAGACCATTGAGGACCAGCTGGTGGGCTCCACAAGGTTCATCTATCGAGAAAGTGGAGCAGGCTCTGCTGCGACCTGAGTGTGAAGGAATCTCTTTAGGAAGCCAGAGCTTCCCTAATTTACCTTTTCTCCTAGAAACGGAAGCATAACTGGACAACAGTCCAGAAGAAACAGTCAGTACTGGACCTGTACTTGACCCATACTTGAAAAATAATCTACTATCAATAAGTGTAGGTGATGAAATGTCCATGAACTTTTTCAATGCACTTGGAGTAATTTTTATTAAAATATAGTTTTGATAAGCACATTGTGGAAATTTATGTAGTAGGATTTTTTTTGTGGAGTACACTTATATGCTTGTGAGTGCATTGAGAGTGATTTTAGGACATTGTTCTTTTAGTTCAGGACTCTTTATCATCCTAATAGAAATTTTTTTTTTTTACTTGTTATTGTCATACTGTAAACTTCCTTCATTCATATTTGTATGTGCACATTTAATTATGTCTAAATATGGCTTACTATGATGTTGGTATATATGCATCTTTCTCTTTTTATATTTTTTGTATATGATTACTTAAGAATGAAAAAGCTTTTGGAAATTTAAATGCTGGGTTGTTTACAAAGGATACCTGGATGGAATAAGCGAGCAAATATGGAGTGGAAATACAAAGGTGGAGGAGGGGAAGGAAAAAACCCCTATCTTTGTGGGGGTACTGTTTAGTTTCCAGTTGTCCCCCATATACACTTTGGTTTGATCATGTTTGGATGACTGGTAACTTTGAAAGAGGCTTTTGAACTTGGTAATTTTGTACTCGTGTGAATATTCATTTATTTATAGGTAAGTGTTTACAGTGAGCAGAGAGTGAGAACTGTATCTACGTGAAGCTTCACGTGTGCTTGGTTGATCTGTGACCATGGAAGTCGTGCTTGGGCCTCCATCCCCTCATCTGTGCACAGGGTCGGGAGGGTGACAGATGGGTTAGATCAGAATTGGCAAATAGGTTCCATGCCATGTGCCATTTTGGATCATGCTAGTGACCCCTGAGCCCTCTCTGGGCTCGGGAGAGAGAGCACAGGGATCTGTCCCCAATGCCTGGCAGGGTCTCAGAAAGGAAAAATAGATGCTGCTCACAAATGGTGTGAAATGTTTAACTCAGGACTAGATGATAAAATCTGTTCAATTTCGAGTTTTTTCTTCCTGAAACAATATTCATCAATTTTTGTACTTTATTACAACTCAGTATTTCTTTTTTTCATGTGATAAATTATTCCTGCTTTACTTGACTGAATCTTCATATTTTATTCTTTGTAGTCATTAAAATGGCATTAGTTTACAGTTGTGATGATTGTTATCAGACCAATGGGGCCCTAAATCCTGTTTCCACTCTTTTCTTCTCCCACCTTTGTACCCCACATTATCCACTAACAACATTCTGTACCTCTCTCTTCCCCTGCTCTATCATCCTCCCTGTAGTTCAGGGCTGGGTTCAGCCCACCCTGAGGTCCCCCTGGAGGGCTGAGCTGTCCACCATGGCACCCACTGGTCCCAGCAGGTGACAGAGCACTTAAGCTATGGCCAGGCTAAATTTCATGAGCTTTAGAGCCCTGACAAAGACTCAGTCCTTCGACCAAAACTTGTCAGGATCCTCTGAGTCCTCTGCTTGACTGGCCTGAACTTGGGCTTCATTCTCTGTCCTTGTAGAATCCAGTGTGAGCAAGAATGATGCTCTGTCAGTTTATCAAAGAACCCCCCACCCTCAGTAGCTGATCACCCTTGATATCTTATCACCCTGGCCTGCCTTCAGCAAGGATCCTATCAAGTCAGTTTAGCCAGGAACCCCTTGTCCTTGATGTTTCCTCTTAGTAATTTACCATGCACTGACACCCATCCTGCTCCTTGGCTATATATACCCCTGCTTGTCTGAGTTGGAGTTGAGGCCAGTCTCTCCTCCCTACTGGGAGACCCCGTGCAAGTGGTCCCCGTACCTATAGCCATGGCCCCCCTTGAATAAAGTCTGCTAAGTCTGCTATACCATTGTTAACAAGTGGATGATTTTTTTAACATCACAAATTATTTCAAAACTTAGTACAAAAAAATAATGTGAAATGTCTCAACAACTTTTTGTGTATTGATTATATCTTGATAATACTTTGTATATATTGAATTGAATTAAACGTTATAAAAATTAATGTCACCTATTTCTTTTTACTTCTTAAAATGGGGCTCTTAGAAAACAACAACCTGGTATCCCGACCCCCTCCCTGTTTCTAGGACTGCAGTGTACAGTGCATTACACATGCGTCTCCCTCAGTCCCATCACAGCTGTATGAGCTGGGTGGGTTTGCTGTGTATTCGTTGCTCAGAGTCTGTTGGCCCATCTAGCTCTGCCCCAGCCTCAAGGAGTGAGGATGAGCAGGTGTGAACCAGAGATCCTCCTGCCAGGCCCTGACTTTTCATAGATGCAGATGTAGCTGCCCTGGGACCTGCAGTCCTGCCCAGCACAGTCAGTGTGGCTTCCCGCCTCTGAGCTCCTGCTGCGCCCACTCTCTGTGCCAGCCTCTGGCTCCTTCCACACATTGATTTCTTCCTCCATCACGTCCATCTCCAAGAGGATGCCTTGTATGAAATGCTGGTGACATGAGTCAACAAAGTGGGGTGGGTTGTCTTGGTCATCACCCCACTGCGTGCCTTGGAGACGCTGGGAGAAAGGATTGCAAGGGAAACTGCTCAGGATCAGCTGGTGGGCTCTGGAAGGTTCATCTCTTAAGAAAGTGGGGCAGTGTATCTTGTGCATTTGAGTAAAAGGATCTTTCTATTTATGTATTTATTTTTTTGGCTGGCCAGTACCTAGATCCAAGCCCTTGACTTTGGTGTTATAAGGCTGTGCTCAAACCAACTGAGCCAACTGGTCAGCCCTGAAAGAATCTTTTCAAGAAACGAGTTTTCCACTTAGATATTACCATATTATTATTTATTTGTAATTATTCCAAAATAAATAGTTAAAAAAAGACATTGTCTATATGAGACCGTATGTGGAATCACTTGGTTTATCCCTGATCCAGGCAGTCTGTTTTGATCTCCGTCTATTTCCTTACTCAGGAAGAGTTTTGTTGGGGGATTTGGGGTATTAGGGCATGAGAAAGGGTTGGGTAACATATCGAATGGTGAATAAATTTTTTTTCATGTGCTATTACTGATTGATCTGGGAAGTTCTGCAGGGCACCATGCTCAGACCTAAGGCCCCATATTAGTTATTTATTGATTCATAAGAAATTACTCTAAAACTTAGTGCCTTCAAAGCACCGTCTTTCTAACTGCACAGCTTCCATGGGTCAGGAATCCAGACCCAGCTCGGCCCGTTCTCTGGTCCAGGGTCTCACAAGGCTGTGATCCACAGGAGGCTGAGGCTCCAGTCACTTCCAGCCTGAATGTGGAAGGACGCTTTTCCATCCTAATAGAATTGGTCTCCAAGCTCACACACAAGGTAGTGGCATGATTCAGCACTTTGTGGGCTCTTGGCAAGGGGATGCCCTCAGTCCTTGCACTGTGACCTCTCCATACGGTGGCTCACATATATGAGCTTGTTTCATCAGAGCAACAAGTAGGGAGAGGCAGAGAGAGTGGAAGAGTAACTGAAGTCACAATCCTTTATAACTTGATCTCAGCAGTGACATCTAATTACTTCTGCCTATTGCATTTGCTACTGTCTTATCTCAAACTCTGATGGGTCTGAGATACTTCTGCAAGTTACCAAGTCCTTAGTTTGTACTGCTATAACCTGAGACTGGATAATTTATATAAAAAAAGTAAATTTATTTCTCACAGTTCAGGAGACTGGGAAGTTCGAGATAAAGGTGCTGGCAGGTTTGATGCCTGGTGAGGGCCCAGTCCCTGCTTCTCAGATGGTGACTTGTTGCTGTGTCGACACGGCAGAAAGCAGGAGTAAAAGGGGCCTACTTAGTTCTTTGCAGGTTTATAAGAGCACTAATCCATTCATGAGGGCAGAGCACTCATTATCTAATCACCTCCCAAAGGTGACACTTCTTAATACTGTTGCATTGGGGATTAAATTTTAAAATGGATTTTGGAGGGGACACAGACAATCAAACTATGGCACTAAATGAATTTGTCCAGTTACATATATATGCTTGAACGTATGTGTGTATGGGTGTGTGTGTATACATATGTTGCGTGTATGTAATTTATATATGTATATGTGTGTGTGTTTATGTACACACACACACACAATAGCAGGCTATATACACATCATCACATTATGATGTCTCTGGATCAAGGATCAAGTCATTTAGTCACGGAGAAGCTTAGTCACAGTCACCCATGTGTCAACCCTCACTGGGCAATATGCTGAGATGTACCTGTTTATGTACTGGGGTTTGAACCACTGGAGAAGAACTCTGACGTTATGAAACTCAGAGCTTATATAGGATGGTTGACACATCTTCCCCTACTTCTCTCCTCAGTGAAAGACACCTTATATTTTACTCTTCTGGGGGAGGAGTAAATCCTAGAACGAGAGCAAATGGCTCTGTGGGAGAGGAGACAACCTTCAAATCTCTGCATAGCAAAACTTAATCTCCAGCTTTTAAGACATTTCTACAACACAAACATCCTTTTGCCCAAGTTTCCAGCAATCTGCTCAGAAAACTTTAACTTAAAGCATGTCTGAATGAAAGTATCAAGACCGAGTTATAATAGGAAAATAATAATGTAACAGGCCAAAACTTGGTCCCAGGTAGTGAAGAAGGTAACCAGTGTTTATACAGCTTCACTGCCTGGATGTTAAACATTCACAGTATGGAATTCTAAAATGTTTACATTAAATGTTGCTTGAGTTTTTTGACAATGCACAGTATCTTGAGATTTGATAAATAGTGGTGTTTCTAGTCCATTTTCTGAATGTATTACCACAAACGTGCTAAGTGCTGTTTCACCCCTCACCCTTTTCTGCAGGTGGACATCACGGATGTTAAACATTCACAGTATGGAATTCTAAAATGTTTACATTAAATGTTGCTTGAGTTTTTTGGCAATGCACAGTATCTTGAGATTTGATAAATAGTGGTGTTTCTAGTC